TAGCTACCGCCACTTCAGACAATAGGAACTGGGTGAACTGGGTTTGTCTACCTTCCCTACTTAGCTTGGAATGGAGCTGGAAGCTTCAGATTACAGTACGATGGGAGTGATGGAGGCATGGCAGGAGTGGAGGGTTGATGGGGCTAAAAGGTATAGGTCAGGGGACTATGAGGGTTGCTCATGGCTGCCTTCCATTTTCAGAGGGACAGGAGATTTCAGGTGCTTTGATCATCCACAAGGAAGGAGCTAGGTGTGCAGTTTGTGGTGAGATGGATTTACTAGGGAGGACTAGAGAAAAGGGAGATAAGGGGCTTTGATTATATTTGACAGGGCAACGCTACCAAGGAGAATTGGGGCACCAGAGAGGACAAACAACCTGGCTCTAAGGCTTCCATCCAGTCAGATCTGGGTTCAAATGTCTGCTCCACTGATTATTCGCACAGTGTGTGGCATACTGGAGATGCTGAGTAATTATTTGCTGAATGAATGGAGACCTTGGCCAAGGAGCTTATCCTTTCAGAACCTTAGTTTCCTCATCTGTAAGATAAATAGCAATTAGGATTCTTATTTCACTTGTGTTGTCTCTCTACACACCTGCACAGTTTGGTGGCCTATTTCCCTAGGGCCATATAGTGGAGCTGCCATACTAAATAAGCCTTTTTCATTGAAGGGTCAGAAAGGGTACATGCACCCAAGGCCTTGCTCTTCCCTTTTGTGTTGTGGTCCCTGTCACCCACCGCTGTCTTCCTTCCTTCCTGAACCTATTTGTTTCTTCCTCTATCCTAGGCAAACTTTGGGGTATAGTTCTACAGCTCAAAGCAAGCATTGAAACCTCCAGTTACAACTCCAGCACATACGCACAGATGCACAACACACTGCTCCCCTCCCTAGAGGGCTGGGCCTGGGCTGCAACATGATTCAAATGTTATCAGTACCACTGACTAGAAAACCTCCTACCTTTATCCCTATTTCCCCATGTAGAGCCAGCCAACATGCCGATCTGGTCCCCTGTGGGGACTGATCACATCAGCACCATTCCAACTCTAGAAGGTTCACTGTGAACTAATTCCTCCAGAGTATGTTAACCGGATGAGAGGCAAGTGACTCGGAGCATGTGAAGATGGTGTGATTCGGATTTTTCAGTAGGTGTCAGGAGCTGGGCTGTGCCGTATGCTCCCTCACCTGTACCGCCTTCCGTACAATGACACTTACCTTCCAGATAGCTCACTGGTGCAAGAAGAGCAATTTGTGGGAGGAGAACAGAGCTTTGCTTTGTATAGAGTAAACAGCTTGTATTGACTATGGTTTTATTTCTGTGTTTTGTCTTTCTTTTGGAAAGACTAATGAGCAGAAAAGATGGAATAAGGTGAAGTCTAAGTTTGCTTGCATTTTCAGTCACCCTATGACATGTGGAATGTATCTCTATAAGACATTCTTGGGATTGATTTTTCCATAGGCGAAAATCTCATCTTTTGTGCTTCTAAGGGATGGAGTGAGAAAGGGAAAAAATTCCAGCTCAAAGACTGAATAAATTCAACTAGACATGCTGGCTAAAATCTTTCATGTGGAGTGGAGCCGAATCCATCTACTGTCCTCACCATCCCTCCTCCCAAAGTCAACTGCGACCCTGACCCTGCTCTTTGTTTTTAATAGGGTAGGACTGGGGTGAGGGGAGGCACAGCGAGAAATGGCCAGCTTTGCTGAGGTTTTGAATGCAAGAACAAATGACAATCTTGGAGACAGGTTCAATAAAATCTTTCAGAATACAGAAAATTCAGCAGACTTTCCACATTGACCATTGTCATGGCAACACACTATCTGATGGCAGCTGCCATCACCAGGCTGAGGGGCACAGTATCAGTATATCAGGTTAGCCTGGCCATTTTAGCAACATTTGGACTTCCTTCTAGCTTCATTTCTCCTAGGTAAAGCTGAGTTTCTTTTTGCTTTTGGACTCAGTGTGATCTGCTAGTTTGCACGGCTGGAACACAAGGCTTTGTCGATATGAAAGGGATGGCTAAATGGGAAATCTGAACATCCTTCATATTCTATAGCCACTCTACTTGTTGTCAGCCTCCCTGGCTCCTTCTCACCCACTCCCAGCCTCTTCATTTTTCTCCTTCTCCATATCAATTCTTTTCTGTACAAAGCAATTACTTCCCCACATCCCAAACAACAGTGACTCATCTACCAACAGAGGCACTGTCATTGTATTCTTTTTATCACTTTCCTGTGTTCTCATTGTCACGTAGGGAGCTCTAGAATCTTAGGGTTGGAAAGAATCTTAACAATAATTTAGTTCAGTCACTGTCCTTCAAGGCAGGAGCTCCTCTACTGTATGAGAGCCAAGTGATTATCTAGTCTTTACTTGTATATCTCTAGTGACAAAAACCTTATTCTTTTCTGAGCAGCCTGTTCCACTTTGGATACCTCTAATCATTGGAAAATTCTTCCTTCTATTGAATGAAACCTGTCTTTTTAAATATCTATTCATGGGTCCAGCCCTGTGCCTTGGGGCAGCATAGACCCATCTAGGTCCTCTGCACTGTGACAGCCTCTTAAGAAATATAAAGTAGAAATCACATCTCCATGAGTCTTTTCTTCCCCAGAAAGCCCCACCTTCTCCAACCAGACCGCTTGGAGCCTCAGCTCTAGTCTTTACCTCAGCCCAACTGACCTCCTGGAACACACTCCTATCTGTTAGGGTTCATAAAATGAAGTTGATACTACATCAGCATTTCTCCAGGCCACTTTGCTCTGGTAACTCAGACTGAGCTCTGTCAACTAAAACTCCTACTTCTTTTTCAGATAATCATGCTGATAAGTGGCATCTTCCCATTTTGTCGGTGTCCAGTTGCTTTTGAGGACCCAGTTCTGGGTCCGTATGTTTTCTCTCCATTTAGATTCATTGTGTTATAATCAGAATATTGCTTTAGCCAGTTAGGACCTTTAAAAAACACTTGACTTCCATGTAGCTTCCAGGTCCTCTAGGATCTATTTTTTTTTTCACCAGCCCTCATCCTAGCTTTTGGTTTCAAGTCATTCATTTATTCCTAAAAGCTTCCTTCCTTTCCTAGTTCTCTTCCATTTGCATTACCACTCTCTGGAGCTCTGTGCCTAGGGACATGTGCAGGGAAGCAAGGGCACACCCATGTCTGCACATGCAAAGGTGTGAGCAAGGAGCTGAAGAGGCTGTCTACTGTCTGTCTCCATTCCTTTGCCTGTACTCTGTAGGATTTAGAGCCTGGATGGGAAAAAAAGGACAAAGTTGAAGGAAGAGGGGTAAGAGAAGTTGGCTAGGATCAGTCCTGAGGGAGATAGGAAATATATTCTGGCTCTGAAAGGAGCAGGAGGAAACTAGGTAGGATTGCCAGGGCTCATCAGGGTTAGGGCACAATGCGATGGACTGCAGAAGCCCAGTGATGGGAGGATTCTGAAGGCCTTAAGGCTGAATAAGGGAGGGAGACTTGGTTAAGAAGAAGACTTGTGGGCTTAGTGGGCACTGAGTGATCAGAGGGCGGCAGCTTGAAAGAGCAGTCAGGAGAAGACTGAGGGTGGTGGGGTCTTAAAAGGGCCAATAAGCAAGACTGTAAGTATAGCATGTCTGGGTTTTATGGGCTTAGAAATTTTTCTGTGGCCAAAGGAACTCAGGACACGGAGTTCTTGCCTATAGACTTTGCTGTTGTCACAGACTGGGCTCTGCTAGTGGATATAGGTCTTAATATCACCCACAGCAAAGACCCTCAGGACACAGCATGTTTCCTCGAACTGGCTCCAGCATCACACAGACCTTCTCCTGTTGGGTTGGATTCCAACATGGGAGTCAAAGGTAGGAGAACTGGAGCTATCTTGGTCATTTTATGAATAACTACAGGAATTTTTTTTTTCCCTCGGTACCGGGAATCGAAGTCACAACCTCACGCTTGCTAGGCAGGCGCTGTGCCGCTGAGCTAAATCCCCAGTCCCTAACTACAGGAATTTCACTCTTCTGATACCTTTGTTTTTCTAACTTTGTAAATAATTAGGATTTCAAAACACACAGACACACACACACACACACACACACACACACACACACACACACACACACAATCAATCAGTCAATCAATGAAACAGGCAAATAGCTGACCCCAATACTTAAAACAAATGGTAGATGAGAAATGAGTTGTGAAATGGTAGTTAGGACCAGGACGGGGGCTCTATTGGAGAGCTGAGGACAGTGACCCCAACAACTAGAGGGCAGAGTAATCAGGAGGGGAGTGGCCTGAAGACTGCCATTTCCTCTCTGCCCTGTGGCCAGAATGCTTCCTAGGTAGCCTCAGGGAAAGGAGGGGAGGGGAGGGGAGGGGAGAAGAAGGGAAGGGAAGGGAAGGGAGGGGAGGGGAAGGGAAAAGAAGGAAAGGGAAGGGAAAGGAAAGGAGGGGAGGGAAGGGGAGGGGAGCAGAGAAGAAGGGGAGGAAAGGGAAGGGGAGGGGGGGAAAGGGCAGCAGATCCATCCCACAGCTCCATCCCCAGTACTCCGGATGAGACTGTGGAACCTATTCCCAGGGCATCAGAATCCCTGACTACTCATTGCAGTTCTGCAGTCTCTCAAGGCACTACTGGACCAAGGGACGTCCACACTGAAAGAGAATGTCAGCAAGCTCCTTTCCCACCCTGGCCCTCTCAAGTCTAAATCAACTTGAACTTCTCTCATCTTAAAGAGGGTTGTGTTATTGGGCTTTCGAAAGAAAAAAGGGCATACTTTAGAACTTACTATTCCTCGGTGGTACCTACAGCTGAACCTTTTGTCCTTCTGAAGGTGACATTAGTTGGCCAAATGACAATCCCAACCAGAATGGCCTGTGCAGAATTCTAACTACAAGCTGTCAGGCCCAAAAGAGATTTCCCTTCAGAGTCAGTGAAATGATTAGCCACCAAAAGACAAATGGTACTTGAGGAAGTCCCTGCTGATAGGCCACCACAAACTGGATGGAATAATGGGGCAGGATTTTGCTCACCTTTGATGTAGTTGAGGATTTGTTGAATTCTGTGGGGCTCATTGCGGTCTGGCCGGCAGCTTGGCGTGATTTCCAGCACATAATCAGGACCATATGCTGTGAAAAACTGTAGGGAAAAGGGAAAGGCTAAAAAACAAACTAAACCACATAAGACCTCCAAACCGAACCAAATACAAACAGGACAAACAAAAGGAACTTACCACTACCGACAAGGCCAGGGAGGCCTCTCTGGGCAGACCAGGACGACACCACAGGAAGCCCGGCCCTGTGGCATTACTGTGGCATTACTCTGCTCACTTGGCCTTCAGTGACAGTTCACTGCTAAATTCTTTAGCTTGCTGTTCAAGGGCCTCTCTGCTCAGGTCTCAACTTTTCTCTCCAGTGACAGGTCTTCCTGCGCCCTGCTCTCTAGCCACACTTGACTGCTTAGTGCCCTTGCCAGTCATCTCCTGCTTTGTCTTCCTTCCCTTGGGATCTTTGCCATTGCAATTTCCTAGGGCCTGTGAAAGCCCACCCCCAGTCCCTGCTGCCTGTGGCAAGCCTTCCAGGCACAGCTCAAATGTCACCTCCTTCACAAAGCTGTCCCTTATTCTCTGCACCCCCAGCATTCTGCTGGTATCTCTAGTGGCCCTCATTCAAATAGACAGCACTTGGCTGCATATCACAAGCAGGTCACTGTGCTGGCTGCAGTGGGGGCTATGAAAATGGATAAGACTTCCCCTGGGTCCTGGATGGAGATTTTTCAACAATAACCAGCTCCCCCACCCCTACCCTGACTGTGAGCTCCCTGAAGACAGGCAGCCCCTGTTTCATTCATCTCTGGGCACCTCATAGACTACGTACCTGTTAGCTTTGTTGCCTTGAATTTCAAGTCCTAGGAATGGCAGACAACTCTAGTTTCTCTACTCTGGTATTTTTTTTTCTCTGTAGTAGAGTTTATTTGTTTTTAAATTCAAAGAATCAAAATAAAGATTTGTAGATTCTATTTCTAGCCCTGTAGATGATACCTTGTGACCTTTGGTAGGTCACAATATCTGACTCAGCTTCTCTGTGAGGGCCCACTTGGGGGAAAACACTGTGATGAAGGGAATCATTCAACTGGGATAAGTTTCTGAATGGGAAAATATGCAAAGCTACGGTTTCTGTTTAGATTTTAACAGAAATAGTATTTGTGCACACTCTCTGGAGAGAGAGCATATGGTCCTTAACATTATATGCTCTCAATAATGACATTGTTAGATGCTAAGTAAACCAGGGAAATTCAAATTCCGCGAATAAAAAGGCATAGTGGACATGAAAACAAGGAGTCTGGTATGTGTTATGATTTTGATGCCATTCAAACAGCTTCTAACAAACAATCCAGAGCTATTGCCATTGTTACCAAGTCGTCCTTGTTGAAAGTCTGGATGTACATCTGGTACCGTGGGAGATGTTGTGGAACAATCTCTAGAGATTTTAACAGTGTCTTTGTGCAATTCATGAGAGTAATTTGATGGGGGAGATGGCTTTTGCACATCTATGACAGAAATTACTACGATTTAATTTTAATGAAAATGATCAAGACTGTGCCGATATTTCTAATGCCGTTTGTGTGTGTGTGTGTGTGTGTGTGTGTGTGTGTGTGTGTGTGTCTAGAAAGGCAGAGGCTTAGTCCTTTCTGCTGGAGTTATTACTGTCTGATGCCTGACACCCTGAGTTCTGGAAGTGGGCGAGAGAGGTCCTCTTTAGCAAGCCTATACATGGAGCAGATGAGAGGGATTACCTAGGGGACACATCCAGAAGTTGACCCTCACCATGGCTGAAGAAATCCGAGAGGCTTGTCTTTTCAGCCAAGAAGGGTCCCTCAGCCTCAGCCTGAGGCCCTTGTGGACTTGACTCTGGAAGACAAGGCTTCAAACAGGTGCAGTACCCTCTCCTGAGGTGGCCTCTTCCCCAGAAAGTGTCAAGTGGTCCACTCATCTCATGGCTATAGAAGATAGGCTTAGAGAGCAACAGAGGAAAGGCATCTGCAACAAAGCAGCCCTTCCAGGAGACCCAAACCCCTGGCATCAAAGTGCTATTAAAAAATCAAAGGCAGGGTACTTAGCTGAGTTACTGGAGGAAGGAATGTCCTGTCTCTTTTTGTGGTGATGAAACTGCTGATCCTTGGTCAGCAAGTCACGCTGTGAGGTGTGTGTTTGGGCCTGAGGCTTTGGAACAGCACGTCCTCTCTGGTGAGCACCTATTGTGCAGTTACCCACATTCTCCTACTACAGTCCTTTGACTGAGAGCACACGACTGCTAACCATGGCCAGCTGGGGCCAGAAAGGATGGCCGTGTGACAGAACTCAGCTCTGCTGTGATCAAGCCTCTTATCCTGACTTCATTTGCACCTGACTTTAACAAAGCTACATGCAGGCCAAAATCATAAGCAAGCCATTCTTTGCTGAAGTAGGCTGCCTGCAGGTAAGAGCCAAGTCTGGATTCCTGAACTTCTCTCTACTTTTGCCAATCAAGTATTATCCCCAGGTCCTGCTTATTTGCAGAGCTAGGGGACACAGATGCCTTATGAAAGTCCTTGTGTTGGGAGCTGGTTGGTTCCACATGGCAGCCGGCTGGCCCTGGTTTGGGAGATTGCTTGGAGTTGAGGGAAGCATTAGGGACCAGGAAGTCATAGGCTATATCTAAAGCAAAGGTGGTGCCCTCTTCCTTCTCTGGCTTTGCCATGACATTTTTCTGCTTCTGCCTTACATTATACTTTTATTTTTGCACTTGTTAAATCTTCTGCACTGGACTGTGAACCCTGTAAATGTAAAAACTTGTCATGTTCTCTTTGCATACCCTATGGAGTCTGACTCAGGTCATCACAGGTTTTCCTTAAATGCCTGCTGAATTAAATTAATTCTCCAAGGCTTTAGCCAACTGTTCAAACAGTTCAAAGAGTCAACTCATAGAATGAACAACTTTGCTGGACTCTGGAGGCAGCATGATGAGGTGGAATAAGCACTAGCTTTGGAGTCAGGAAGAGCTGGAATTTGGTGCCTGGATTTAGCTGTGTGCCTCAGGTAAGCTTCTTAATCTCTGTTTTGTCATTTCCACCAGAGGGATGATAAATGCTGATCTCCCTTGGGCTGTTAAGAGTCAATGAGATAACATCTATCAAAGGGCCAAACTCTTGGGGCCCAGGACACAGCAGGACTTTGATAACTGTGAATTCCCTTCTCCTAGGGTGAGAGGCCCTTGCCTAACCCTGTGTCATTCATTTCATACCCTGAGGAATGTTGGGCGAAATGCTTAGGGCTGAGAAGGAGGAAGAGCCTTATCCTCCTGCCAGACCAAGCCTCACGTCCCAGTTTCCTTCCTCACTTGCTCAAGTCACCAACTCAGCTTGAGGACCTGTGGGGAAACCGACTTCTATCACAGTTTCTGGTCCTATGGTCCTGCCACTTGTTACTTACTGGCGAAGTGGAGAGGAAATATGATCACAGAAGGCGAAAGAGAGGTTGGGGTGGAGAGACTTGGCCAGCACTAGAAATAGCTTGAGGCCCCACCCTGAAGCTGCCCTTCGGCCCTGAAGAGGAAAGGAAACGGGCACTGTAGCAATCCCATTCTCAGACAGGTGGAGCAGGGATGAAAGAGGCCAGCTGACCGAGGTGAAACCTGGCTTTGATCTCAGAAAAGGAAGGAAGGAGGTGCTAACCCATTACGCTCCTTTCCCCTTACTCCTTTTGCTTTTTGGGTTTCAGTTTAAACATTTTTTAGGGGAACATGGTACTGGGAATAAGGCAGATGGAAGGTATGAGGTGGGGTGAAGGGATGGGAGTTTCGGGTGATGGTTTTCAGTCTCTTCCTGACCCAGGAATCAGTGAGTAAAGGAATGTAAATAGCTCAGCTCTAGATAGTTCAGCCCACATTAATGCTCCTTTCTTGTTCAGTCCTTGCCAGCTCTCGCTCACACAATGAAGACAGCATACAATTAGATGTTTGGTCAAAAAGATATCAAAAGAAGTCTCCCAGTTGCTGTTATTCCTCCATAATTCTGTTTGGCCACAGGAAACCAAGCCACAGAGCTGAATCATCTGATCCTCTTATCCTCACCTCAACATTTAGTAAGTACCTACTATGTGCATGCTAGGTTAGTCACTGGGATACAAAGAGAGTAAGGAAGGCATATTCAATAAGAGGGATTATTATAGAGCAGCATAATGAGTGATATAATAATAAGATTACCAAAATAGAAATAACGACAACCAATATTTATCACAGGCTTCTTATTATGTGTTAGGCACCTAAAATGTCTAAGCACTTTTCACAGATTAACTCACTTAATTCTCACGGTCAAACTGTGTGGTAGGTGCTATTACTGTTTGGATCTGAAGCACAGAATAGTCAGAAGTCACACAGTCAGTACATGAAAAGCTGAGATCTGAACATAGATTACTCTGGAGGTCAGTGCTAACCATATGGAGCCTATCGACTACCCCAGAAGAAGTGACTGTGGAGTGGGGTCTGGTCAAAGGAACTTGGAGAAGTGGGGTACGGTGATCCCAACAGAGCCTGGGCAAGGGCAGGAAGAAAGAGTAGGGCATGGTGGGGTATGCCTATAACCCCAGCACTTGGGAGGCTGAAGCAAGCGGATCACTGCGAGTTTAAGGCCATCCTGAACTACGTAGTAAGAACCTGTCTCACTTCTGCCCCCACCCCCCCCAAAAAAAAGGCAGGGAGCAAGAAACAACACATAATTGGGTCTAATTAGAGGTGGCTAGCGGGTAGGGTACAGGGAGAATCAGGACACAAGCCTAGGGAGGCAGGCAAGGGTTTCGTGGTAGCCCCTGCTAAGGCATTTTCCCTGAGACTAGTGGTTCCGTGGGAGCAGACCACTGTTTTGTTCCCTCCTACAATGCTATCTCCCAAGACAATGCTGACACCTACTCGGTGACAAGGAAATACTTGTGTGGTAATGAGTAGACTCTTGGGGGAGAGACAGGAAGCTTTTAAACAAGGGAACCAGCGGGTCAGCTGTGCAGGTGAGAGGGCTCACTGGCTGTGGTGTGGTTACTGTAGAGGCATCAGAAGAGAGCGGTGTGAGGGGGAACACCAGTTGGAAGGTCAGTGCTGTGCCCCTGG